GGTGGGGAAGGGAGGAGGTCTGTTACTTGAATATAAAAAGGTTATATCTAGACTGAAGGGTTGGAATGATGTATTATATGTTTTTTTTCATTGGCGGGTATGGCCTTTACAAAAGCTTTTTTTTTTTTGGGTCATTAGTGTTTTTTGGGGGTTGGTGTATGGTGATAGGTGTTGATCAAGTGAAGGATAGAAGAAACTGAATACATTTCAACATGTAACAACTGTGAACGTGGATAGGTAGGTAAATAAGAGAGAACCTTTAGGGGGCCCCCTATTTGCAAAATCAGCGCCCGCCCCCCTCCCTATCCACCGATTTATTTACCCTTCCTATACTATAATAAGAGACCTTTTCCCTATCTTTTAAGACCCTTGAACTATCCTTTAAGCCTTGTGAATCGTTTTCTCAAGCCTTTTAACTATCCTTTAACGTCCTTTAACTATCTTTTAAAGCCTATTAAATATCTTTTAACCCTTAATAATCACCCTTTGAAATATAGTCAATTCTATATCAAGGGGGGGGTGTTTGCAAGATAAACAGGGGGCTCCGTAAGGTTCTCTTGCAAATAAACTCGTCAACCAGAAGAGGGCTGAAGTGAAATGTTCCGTTTCAATCACCACGCTCAACTCACAGGTTGCGGAATGAGATAGTGCGAGCGTGTATGTGTAAACAATTTTGCTCTCTGCTAAAATGTCTTTCGTATCAAGAGAAAATATGAAAGAGTAATTTGGTATCCACGAGTTGAAAAGAAAAAACTACTTTCAAATAGCAAAAAGAAAACATTGCCATAAGAGCTTCTCCAACTAAGAGAGAGAAAGAGAGAAATAGAGCATATACCAAAAATCTTGTATAATCAACAGATCCAAAAGCGACAGTTGAGAGTTGTCTTTGACCCCCCCCCCCTTTCCTTCCCGCCGACTTGTCCCATATCCTCCCCATAAATGTCCATGATATCCTTTATATACTTGTCCCAGATATCCACCACGGAATTTCCCCGATATAAAACGCCATCAACCCAACCCAAACCAACCCAACCGCCTTGGTGGGAAAGAAAATGCCGTTTTTTGATGCCGATATAAAAGTACAAAAAACGACAGTTGAAATAATAAACCGCCATTAGGCCACAATGCCTCATGAAAACGATAGGGGGTGCCCCGTCCGCCAAAAATATCCAAAGCCGACTTGTTTAGGTGACAAACCACATACACCCACAAGGACTCATATCCGCAGCCGGCGGTCCTCCTCCCTGCTGAGTAAAAACCCCCTCCTCCGTCCCGCCGCCCTCACGCCCCGCTCGCTCCTCTCCCTCCCTCTTCCTCCTCCTCTTCTGCCCCCCCGGCCGGCCGGCGCCGCCAAAAGGCCCAACAACAGTCTGCTCATTCTCCACAATCCTAATAGTCACCGCCTTCCCCTTCCCGTCCACCACCACCTTCGCCTCTTGCGCATAACCCGTAATCTCCATCTGGGTGCACTCCGGCACTCTCGCCGCCGCCGTCCCTGTGGTTATGGTTGGAACTCTCCTCTCTGCTAGTTTGATAACTCTTGGATACCCCGGTGGTGGCGGCGTAAAATTCTCATCTATCGGTCCCCATCCTGACCCTGACCCGAACCCCCCTGTTGATGTGGGAAAGGGGGGGAACTCAAGCGTCTTCGAGTCTCGTGGTTCAGGCCAGTAACCCTTTGGTTTGTTGGTGTTTGTTGGGGAGGGGCCTTCGCTTGGTGGTGGTGGTGGTGATTGGTTTCCCTCAGGGTGTCAGGAGGATGGTTGTTGGGATTCTCACCGCCGATGGGGGCTGGTAGTGTTGATGTCTGTGGTGGTGGGGTTTCACCTGGCGGTGATGTCTGTGTCAGTAGTGTGGCGGAAGATGATTCGAAAAATGTTGATGTTGTTGTCGAGGTGAGAAAGGACTGATATGGCCCCCGCCCTGGACTTCCCGGGCCACCGCCCGGGCCCCCTGCTGACAGTGGCGGGATCCCAGAACCAGCTTGAGTTTTAGGTGGGGGGATAGATGAACATCTCGGAGGTACGTGTCTGGCCATCTGCACACCCACGGCTTGTCCCCGACCTTGGCGATATTTTTGCGCTTAAAGTCGGTCATGCCGGCCAGGTTGCGAATGTTTCTTCTTGTCACAGAAGGAGTCGTCGGTGAGAGGGCAGCTTCGGGGAGAATGACCGTCTTGTCGTAGGTCAGCATGTTGTAGAATGCCGGGCCCCGTGTTGGCTCAAAGGTGTCGTTGACCAGTGTCAGAGTAACCGGTTTTTCTACCAGAGGTGGCTGTTCACCATACGAGTATACGTTATTCATCAACGTGAACGAATGGTTAAAGTTGAGCATCATGCTGTGTTCGCCGTGATTCTCAGCTATTGTTAGATGCAAGCCGGCGATGACGAGAAAACAGTTCCATGCTTGCGAGAGAGTCGGGTCTTGAAAGCAAGTATTGGACACGCGGTTCGTTGTAAGTGGCATGCTGAAGGTGCCCGCCGGTAGTGGCTGAAGATCGGCTGGTTTTGGTATTGGAACGGCACCAAACGTTGGTACAGGGGCTGGCGAGTTGAATGGTGACCTATAGACCGAGTTAACAAACCAAACCACGATTACTCACATCTTGTTGAGATGCTCACCATGTGCCATCCTTGCGCATTGGCCGCTTTTGTTTGGACAAGAATGTGCCGATAACTGAGCCCAAAATTGCTCCCACCACCAATAATATCAGAAACGTCAGGCATATAACCCAATATGGGACGATACCACATAGCTTCCGCCTCATCCACAGTTTCCACCCCTTTGGCGATTGCCCCTTTTCGTTGACAACCTCTTCATACGGCTTAATGACCCGATTGGTGCTGTCCGAGGTGAAACTTCGCGACGAGTGGCGGGACTGGGGAGACCCGAGATCGTCTGTTGAATCAAATTCGGGATTTCGTGTGGCTAGCCCAAGCCCTCCCGCACCGACAATGGTGGAACCGGACGTTGTGATGGATGGTGGTGCGGTTACCGCGGCTGCCGCTGTATTTGGCGTATTCGTCGTTGCTTGTGCTACTCCAGTTGGGGTCAAGGCATCGGCAGCCGCTACCTTGCGAGCATATGCCTCATCCGGATATCGCGTGTATGGCGGAAGCTGTTCGGTATGGCCGTCTGGGCCGATGATGTCGCCAGCTTCCTCCCCGTCTGCGCCAACTCGTCGCCGGTACTGATCGGGAAGACCGTGAAAACCTAGTGGAACGGTGTCTGGCATAGCGCCCGTTTCGACCCCGTCGCTCTGAGGATAGAGGCCATACGGATGACTTGGTCCACGAGGCCCAGTGTACGACAATTCCGACGCCGGTAGCGTCGACGAGGTCGTCGTTGTGCTCATTGTCCTTGCCATCCTTACGTCCTGCGGATACATCTGGTAGGGATGCGATGGTCCAGACGGTCCCCTGTACGGGCTCTCGGGTGCTAGATAGGCTGTGGATTCGGTAGATCCGCTCAATTGCCTGCTCAAACTCGAGGATTCGTCAGCCTGTTCTGGCCCCCCATGTTGCCGTGTCGACGATGCATCTCGTGGCCTGGGTGGCTTCGAGATGCTGGGAGAGCGACCTATTCGTGCTGACTCTGGACTTCCATCGCCAAGTAGTGTGCTGGATCCGGAGGCGAGTGATGGCGTCGATGGTGGTTGGATCTCGGGGCCGGGGTTGACTGGTCTGAACCCATCTGCCACCATTCCCATGGCGGCCAACTCTGGGTCCTCATCCGCACTAATGACTGATATCCGCAGCGAATTCCTCGTCGATAACCTCCTCTCCAGCTCGTCAGTCTTGTTTGGTGGAAGATCCATGGTTTCGGGTTCTGTATCTCGATGACTGGCGCTGTTCCGGGTCTAAGAGTTAGATGAACCGCTTGCCAGCACCATCAACTATTCATTGACTGGCGAGGGTGACCAGCGGAGTCATCGACTCCTTTGGTTCTCGGATCGTCCTAGGATGTGGCGTTCAAGGTTTGTAGACAGAGGTGATGTTGGTTGTTTGATAGTTGCAAGGGTGATTGGCAGGTGAGGTTCCAGTCCTCCGGCTGAAATGGGACAAGCTGGATCAGAGGTGCGCTTCTGCAGCAAGAGGTCCAGCCACTTCTTGGTCAACAGCCGGAATCACAGCGCGCAAGAATCCAAAGGTTGTCGGACTGGCCAGAAACAAGACAGACTGGCACCGTTTCGGACTCAATATGGGGGGCACGTAGGCGCATGTTGTCATTGGTCGGCTGTTCACGGGGGACATGCCCTGGCACCCCCCCAGGGCCTTCCGGGGCGGATTTGCGCTGGCGGGAGCATCAAGGCGCTTGGCAAGCTGCTGTGTGCGGCAGGGATGTGCAGAGTGGACCATGGCCATTGGCTGGGACTTTGGATCTCGCCCGTTCCTCATCACTTCATCGGACAAACCAAGGAACCTCACGGTCCGGCAGTGTCTGGCTGCAGCTATAACAAGCGTCCTGGCAGAGCCGTTTTCGTCTCGAGTGCCCAAGCAAAAACCGGTCGTCGGACGAACTCGAGCGAACTCTCAGTTCGTCTGGAGCATCCAAAAGGCCAAAGCTTGCCGCTTTCCCGAAGACAGTCATCCAATTCCTGATGTCAGTCCTGGGTATCATCATCCCATCCATTCCTGGGACTGACTGGTCATGTCAGTGAATAACCGCCGTTTTCGCAAGAGAAATGGAAAAAATCTGGGGTAGACATTGCAATCTACAGGCCGCAGAGAGGGCAATATCTCGCAGCATCGGGATTCGCCTGGATGATTTGAGCCTGTGGGTAGTATTCCCAAGCTGGACGCAACACCGGACAGTGTGGGACAAGCGAGGCGGCTGGTCAGATTTGTGCTATGGCGAAATGAAGTGTGAAGGAAACGTTTGGCATTGCGCAAAGCCACGAGAAGAGATCAGGAGAGATGACATCGTGAGCTTGTTCCTGGCTGTCCATGCCCAATGGGGAGGCCACTCCGGATCCGAGACGATGCTAATGTTAGGAGCTAGGTACCTGTGTACGCAGTAGTTCGTGCTGCCGGAGCGGAGCATCTGATGCAGAGCGTTCGTTCGGTTGATATGCGCAGGCCGCAGGAGAGAAGGCAGGAGGTGGCAGGTGGCTGCTATAATTAAATGGGGGGGGGAAAGGTCTGGAGCGTTCTCTTGTAAATAAACGGAGAGACATCCAGACGGGAAGGTCAATTATCAACGTTGGAAGCTTGCCTCTTTGCGGCCAAGCTCGATCGTGTGGTAGTGTGGGCTTGCCGGGCCGTTGCACGGTTATGGCACAGAGCCCGCGGCAGTTACCACTCCCCTGTCGGCTGGCAGGGGTGCCACGATTGCCGGTTGCTTCTAGTGTCTTGTCCCCGCCAACAGCATCAGATATTGCATCTTGACAGCCAGTATATTGTTGATATTTGAAGACTACCCTCATGAGAGAGCAGTGGCGGCCATGGAGGGAGAGTCTCATTAGCATTGATCGGTCATCACGACAATCTCGACAAACTACCGCCCTCAATTGCGAATCGTTCTACACTACACAGTAGTTTGTTATTCCACGACCAGCGGAAATGCGGGGTATTCGGATTCAAAACAGCCTTGGATGTTAACCGCACAATTTTATCGCCGGGTTCTCATCCCCGAGTCATCGTGACACGGGATGGCCTCGATCTCTGGGACGGTGCTGGCCTTGGTCTGACAGCCTTATCAACAATCCCGACCTTCATCCCCTCTACGAGTGTCAAAATCGAACCATTCTGTCTTGCTGCATCTGCTGTACTTCGTCCACATCTCGGGCGAATGCAGGAGCTCTCTACGAAACACATCGTCGTGGTACAGTTGTTTAAAAAGGCAGATGGCAGAATCTCTGATCAAGGAAGCGAGGCCCTGGGCCCGCCAGGTCCATTGAGGGCAATTATGGCCGAGAGGATCATCTGCACCCTTCCGACTCTGTGTCCAGAACTGGCATTGGATGGTTGGTGGTTGTCAGCAACCCATCTTGCCCCGCTCCCGTCGTTGGATACGCCCGGCTTTGCACCATCACCATAACCTCAACCAAAGCATCACTCTTAACCTCTTAGCCTGTGTCTGGTGCGGCTCAAAATTGGTCAACATGTTTGCTGGCTTCTAATAAGAGGAGAGGCTCCGAGAGGCTCCTTGATGCCCAAAGTGCTCTCCTCTACTTTCGAAACCGAACACAACATGACCTGACCCTCACTCTCCTGCCCCTCACGACCTCGCCCAAGCTGACTGAGGTGGGAGAAGCAAGTTCGACGGATAGCCGCAGCCTGACCGCCAAGCTGTGATGCAGTGTGAACACCAACCACAGCACTCTATGCCCACACCCAGCCTGTCACAACACTTCGCCTGCAAACCGGGGCACCCGCCTGCTGGAATCCAACATGCACGAGACACACCGAGCATGCCGCTCTACAGATGAATCGCCACTTCATCGTTGCCCGGCTTGTGCGCCAGCTGTAGCTTTCCGATCTGCCACAGCCTATCACAGCTGGACGACTCTGAGGCTCCATGGCTTTGGGACAGATCAGACCAGTCGGATCCGGCCTCCCACAGGGTTGGTTACCTGTTGGTCCAGCGCTGAGTAGCTCAGCATCCTCCCACCTGGGCCCTGTTTCTATGTGTGAGACCATGCACTTCTGCAGCCTCGAGCACACGCTTTGCCCAACTCAGCTGCAGGAGAGACTCCAAGAGAGAGGAATGTGCAGCATCACCTCGTATGTGAGTGTCACCCATAGTCTCCTTCTCACCCCTAGACACGCGCCTATGCTCTCGGGGGAGTAAGCTCCCCGAGCGTCTCCTATTTACTTCTACGCCCGTCTCTTCCGTCGATCTCCCGTTCTCTTGGAAATTCCAATTCCCAACTTCAAACTCTCTTCCACCTCGAACTCTCTTGACGCTCCCCATTGGCGGTGATGCCCTCACTCTAGGCTGCCCAAGTTTGCCTGTCTTACTGCTTGGCTCATCTATTCGGTGTAGGACAGTTGTTGTCCTACTCTCCACACATCAAATCTAGGAAGCAAGGCTCCTAGCCGCCCCCCCCCTCTACGTTTCGGTCACATATATTTTAGTTCGCCCCCTCGCCATGCCTCGATCCAGCTCCAGCTCTGGCTCCAGCGCCGGCTCGAGCTCGAGCTCGCGGCGGATGAAGCAGCGGATGCTTCCGAAAACCCCAGCTGTCAACACTCTGATATGGTTCACTGGGCGGGATCCCAGGAAAGTCAAGGGCGTCCGGGCCTACTATTACGACGATGATTTTGAGACTCGAAGCAATGGCTCATACAGTTCCATGTGGTCCTCGTGGACCAGCAACCGCAGCAATGTCGAATACTATCTCGTCGAGTCCAAGGGGCTCTACTACGCTGAGTACCCAGAGCAAAGCAAAAACAACAAGTCAAGGCCAAGTGGCAGAGTCTCCCAGCCGAGTGCCACAGCTGCCTGGGCCAGAAACGCCAGTGTTCGGGATGCCAACGGGGATGATGATTCCGATTCAGACGACGGGAGCAGCAGCGACAGCAGTGAGTCTGAGTATGGGCATCAGCAACCCGGCCCCTTTGCCCAACCTCCAGGTCCAATGAGGATGGGAATGCCCAATGGCGGTCCTCCTCCAATGGGTCGCCCTCCCATGATGGGCGGCCCCCCTCCGATGGGCGGTCCTCCGGGTCCTCCACCTGGAGGATTTCCACCAGGCTTTGCCGGAATGCCGCGACCTTCCTCTCATCCGCAGATGCCTCCCCCAGGACATGGTATGCCGCCTCCGCAAGGATTCAGACCCCCGATGGGAATGGGGATGCCCCCTCCACCTCCAGGAGCTGGTCATCCTGGACCTTTCCCAGGCGGTCACTAAGGATCTCTTACCTTTTCGGGAGGTGGTGATCAACGTGACAGGGAAGGCATTTACAAGCATGGAATATGAGTTATGAAACGGCGTTTAGGTGTCTGGTAACATCACATCACAGGTTGGTCTGGACAACAGGACGGACGTACTTGGTTTCGAAGACCAAATCTCGGAATTGCATTCAGAAAAAAAAGGCCGGGTGCTGTTTTCATGGCGTTTCTGGAGTTGAGAGGGGGGGGGGGGGGCGACGACGGTTGGACATTTGGAGCATACCTATTTATGGTTAACGATTATGGTCTCTGATGCACTATGAAGTTACTTCTTTTGCGCTCCATTGCCGTTGCTCATTGTCTTGTATGACATCCTGATGCTCTCATCACTGAGCCCTAACCCTGACAGCTCACCTAATCTCTCAGGATACCAACACGACACCAGTGTTCTGCAGTTTTTCGATATCACATTCAAGCATCTCACAAGCGCCATCCAAGGCTTCAAGGGATACACGCATGTGGCCAATCATCACAGCGCTTACGCTGTAGCATCACCACGGTTCCAATTGAAGGACTTTGCGTCATGGAATCATTCACTTCACTCAAATTGATGAGGCAGCCATTAAGGCACTGCTTCAGAGTGCATCCCGAGAGTTAAAGACTGTGCAGGAGGGGCACTGTCGGCGTAGCCGGCAGCTGCTGATGATCTGAACTTTTGCGACGGCCACCGACCGGTTCATCCGGGTAGGTAGCCAACCATCTGGAGATGCTGCGGCAGCAAGCCACACACCAATTCATTCACCACCGCCCTCACAGGAAGTGGTGTGCCCCGCATTCGTCCGCAGTTCGCGGACCAAGACTAGCAGCTACCCCGCAACCGCCGTTGAGGTACACCACGGTCTCGATTCTCTAGGCAGACAGATGAAAGTGCCCGCATTTCAAGATAAGTCTACTACCATCTTTCACAGGCATCGATCTTCTATGGCGGGGTAAAGCTATGGTTTCACATCCTTCCCGCACTTGCACGAGGATTTTCACTGTTCTTCATTCACAAGCAGGCACCGAACTGGATGTGGAAGAGTGAGTTGTTGCACAGCAGCAGGGGCGGCCGGCTCCACGTTCTGGGCTGGCGTGTGCGAGACATTGTGATGTTGTTACACCCGCTCTGGGTGGGATACCTTGATGGCAGCTTCTGTAGGTGAACAGGTAAGTAGGTAGATATTCCCCTGAGATTATCAACTAACTCGTCTTCTCTCTGCAAAGCTATCCAAAACCAGAAAACCTGCCCAATTCAACCGTCAGCACAGTTGATGCCTGACAGCTGCGCAAAAGCCAGACTTACCAGAAAGACTTTAACTACAGCAATGGCCGGATCTGACAAGATTCCCAGCGCGACATGGCTTGAAATAGAACTTTTTCTTCTTTTTTCCCCACCATTGATTTGACTTCTTGCACATTGCGGCAAGGCGATTTCGAGGGCGTTGTTTTCCAGTCCTCTTGGTTGGAAGTGACGTCTTGTTTGATTTGCAACCAGCGTAACTAGGTACGTGGGGGAGGAGGCTGAGTTATAATTCTCACTAACACTCAGTTACCTCTCGCTAACCCAAGCATACCAAGCATACCAAGCATTTGTCCTCGCAAACATGGACCAATGGTTGTTCGAATGCTGTTTGTTGGGATACCGCCGTTTGTAGGTATTATAGCCCAAACTCTTTGTGCTATACTCTTCTTGCCGGTGACTGACGCCGTGAATAGCACTGATGCCTTGTGGATACTACCAGTCTATGTATATCCCGGCGTGTTACACATCTGGCTGGGTAGGTGGCTTTGTTTAGATCTGAGGACAACTCCAGTCCAGGGATTTGGTAAGACAGCCAACGAACGCTTTGCCACAAGACAGGGAAGGGAGACACAGGATGAGAGAAAGCTCCAGGAAAATGTGTTCAAGTGCGAGGGAGTGGAACATGTCAACGGTGTTATCAACAACAAAGTTTGTTGTTGGTGGCGTCGAACTCAAGGTACCTATCTTGGCAACTGGTTCTTAGTCCCAATTCGAAGTGTTGAAACCATGAGTGGATCTCCCTACAGGGGCGCAGGCCGTAGAGCAGAGACAGACAGACAGACAGACAGACAGACCGTGATGGATGCTAGGTAGTCTTTTTCGTCCTCACTTGTTGTTGGTTGTGGCCTCCCAATCCTACGGGTTTGGACTACCCCGCCTGCGCCCCTCCCTCCCTCTCTCTCTCCTCGCAAGGCCGCCAGCCTGGCTACCTACCTAGTTCACCTTCCTGGGACCTGTACCGAGAGAAAAGTAAGCTGCATGGAGGTGGTGAGCCAATGGGAGGGTTGACGATGCACATGGCGGATGCCTCTTTTGACAAGCATTGAACGGGGCAGGGATTAAAGTGCACCTTTGGAGAGGTATCATATGCTACTAAATTCCA